ACAAAGATTACATATATAGATCCGTCAGTATTCTACGACTATGACGATATAACCCTTTGCATAACGGTGGAAATTTCCATCACAACATTGAATGCCCAAAAATTATGTAAAAGAACAAGTTCACTTTAAGTTGATCGTGTCTGGATACCTTTTTAATGTCCATTGCAGAAAAAGAAAGCATAGCTGTCAAATTTATTTTTTTTATCCATTTTTCCTTTAATTTTGAACATGAATATAACATCTTGATTTATTTCACCAATAAAAAAAATCATGCAAAGAAGAGTTAAGTTCAAAATTTCAAAAAACGTGCCTACAAAAGGCCGGCAACACACAAGCAACTCCTCTCGTGCAGTTATTCATGGGTGACGGTAGTCGTTTACTCGTTTGCCTCCCTAACAATAAAAAAAAAAAAACTGTTTTTCGCTTACTCCTAACCTATGCAATGGGTTTTAATACGGGTTTTACATAGATAATTTATTTGCATTACTTACAGCACACAAAATATAACATACATATATAGATATGCATAAAAAGCAAGATAAGAGAAATGATTTAAAAAATATACATAAAGCCAAGTACATTTTTTCCTTTTATGCGTGTGCTATAACAATACAAAATGGACACGTCTCAGTTTATTGCTTATTTTATCCTAGCTTTATTTTAGCCTAGGTTTGTCTTTACAAAACGAAATATCTTAATTATATTTTTCTATATGTCAGAATAAGCGAGCATATTATAAATTTTATAATTCATAAATTGTCCAAGGCCATAGTGCTTCACTAATACTGTATAAATATTGCACTCAAGTCTGTCAAATGTATGCATGTGTTTATTGTATGAATTAGGTATACACACCTAATTATCAGTAACATGAGAAGTAAACCCTAAATCTCTAATTAAACAGCGGCGTGTATGTACCTATGTGTATATTATGTTATTATACCTTTAATTTTTCACAGTCGAATATTTCTAATTTTAAACTTTTGCGTTATTTACGCATATTTTAAACTACTGATTCTTTGTACTTGGCACAAGTACAAAGAATTTTCGATAATCAATACATATATTAAAAAAAAGTTTAAACTAATTTAACTGATCGGTTATTTTATAGCATTTTATATGTGATTCTTTAGATTGATATAATTTATGATAGTGGCGCCATCTAGTTGCGCTCATCATGAGAAACTTTATCGTGATAAATCACTGATAACTAAAACTAATTTTAAAAATCAATTTGTTCTATAAGTTTATTTTTTTATGTTTGGCGTACGATATTAGCGTTTCTCTTTCGAGATCAAAACTTTATCAAGTATCAATGTATTTTTGTAATTATTTCATATCCAATCAATATAAACTACAATTTTTTATATATTTATTAAATAGAAAAATAATTAAGAAAGCTATGCCAAAATGGTTTACTAAATATGCCAAGTATAATTTTCTTTAAATCTATTAAATGTTAATTGTATTGTTAGAATACATCGTCATAGTAGTAGAATACTGACGGATCTGACGAATATTACATATAAAGATCCGTCAGTATTCTACGACTATGACGACATAATATTAAATCTGTATTCTCATATCCCGTTGTTTTATGTATACATAGCTGTAAAATTATTTAATTTGTTTGTGATTGTATCATCATGTACACTGGTCTCTGTACTTAGTTATTGCAAGTATTGTGTATAGACTGATTTTTAGTATATTCGAGGAATACTCTTTGCACTGAGGTTGTCTTGAATTTTAATGTTTAAAGTCAATCATAACTTTACCTTACCAAAATGTAGTATCATTGTAATTATTTGCCAATTTTCAAAAGCAACCATTTTCAATCGTCATCATATCAGCCATTGTCCACTGCTGGACATAGTTCTCCCCTATAAGGGGGGTTTACCACCAGTTGCCACACTTGGCAGGCAGGTCAGCAACCGCAGTTAGCCTTTGGTGATGTTTTAAAAGACACGCTGCTGTCCATCCCTCGACTGTGATTTCTTAGTCGCTTCTTACGACACACACGTGTAAGGAAGGGGTAGCCCAACGTTTCTGAGTATTTAAACATTGTTCTGTTAGCGAATAGAAACTTTGAAAATTGACAGATAATAACGAGGTTGGAATACTTTGTTATAAGCGCTCTTAATACTTAGAGCCAGTTTCACAAGTTTTTGTAGGTATCTGTTATATATATATCTAATGTCATCTGGAACGTTATATTAAATAAGTTTGTAAAATTTATTTGATAGTTCTTCGTTATTTTTATGTACCCTATATACCTACCACAAAATGGAAATCATGGGCACAGATAATACTATACTAGTGGGTAACTGGATATTTTGTTGGAAATGCTTTATGGATTTAGTATGTTATGTAGAAGATTATTGAAAATTCAAATAGTTGTACTTTAAATTCAATTAATTCTGATTTTATCATATGCACATATCGTAGTATACTATATATATATATAGTCGTAGAATACTGACGGATCTGTATATGTAATATTTGTCAGATCCGTCAGTATTCTACGACTATGACGATATTATGTAATTGATTATTTGACTATATTTATTTTGTTTAATTCCTTTACCATTAGTACGTTACATACTTTACCAATACATGTAAATTTCTCATATTAGATATAGAGGCAGAATGTATATGGGACACGTAAATTTCTTTCATCTAAAACTACCTACATTCTAGCAAAATAAATTCATTTCATTTCATACACACATACTAACTGGCAACACTTGAAGATTGGCCAGAAGTCTCACACATTCTAATGGTAGCGGAATTAAACAAAATAGTTCTAATAAAATAACCAGTGATATGGACTTCAGCAAGATAACACCTAATTCGGTAAAATATTTTGTAAATGTCCAAACTTAAAAGAATTTACACCAAATAATGGTAAAATTAAATGTGGCAACACTACTCCATCCCAGAGTCCAATATCGACCTACCATGAGCAAATAAATCATAAATTATGCTACATCTGGATAAATGAAATGTATGCAGGGATAGGGGCCTTATAATGCTAGTTTATCTCTGTCTACCCCGCAAGACACTTGGCGTGAAGATGCTTAAGGGTTTTTGTAGTGGACCATTATTTACTTATTATATGTACGTATGAATTAATAACCTTTAATATATAAAAGATGTTTGTCGGTTCGTTGTATAACCTCCCACGCGTATATTTTGTAAAATAAAATTGTGAAACAAAAATACTTGTTTTATTTTTTATACATATTATCTTCTATGCTTATAATAAATCTGTAGAGAGGTCAATTCTGAATTATCTGAAAATGTTACTCTCTCACCTTGGTAGGAGAGTAGGGTTTGCCCTACTCGTAAAATTTCACAGTATACAATATTACAATTGTCCCTAATCCAATAATGTAAAACATTGGAATGTATTATAGTGAGGTAACAAAAGTATGGTACAAAAGTGAGTATGTGCCGTATGGTCCCGGCATAGAATGGACCGTCCCTTCTATTCCCGTAAGTGTTGTAAGAGGCGACTAAGGGAGCTTAATTAATGGTTGAGGGATGAACAGCAACGTCCCTCTTTAAACATCATCAAATGCGGTTGCCAATCCGTTTAGCAACAGTGGCACGCCTATGTTAAGCAGTGGACAGTTAACGACATGAATGAATGAATTAATAAAAAAAAAATGGCTTAAAAATTATGCGTATATTTTAAGGAAACCATTATAAAAAAAAACAGATAATAAATTTAAATTTAAGTTAAATTTAATAAATAACTCACACATAAATGGAAATTATGTATCCATAACACATAATTACTATGTTCTGTGACATTCATAAATAAAAACACATTTGATTCACATTGTTTTATCTTAACTAAAAGTACAATCGCCAATTATCAAACAAACATTTGTCCTTCGACTTTTACAATTGAACGCGAAGGTCTTAAAACTAAAATATGCGTATTGAAGTTTGCGGATACAGTTTCAACCTTATATAAATGTAACATGGTTGATAATTAATTATCTAACTTGATAAACATAACCACTTAATATATTCTATTGCAATATATTAAAATATGCAGAAATAAATGAATGAATAACTTATTGTTCCCTCAAAGATCATTCTTTGTGGGAAACTATTATAATAGATTATTATTATAAATAATAATATTATTATATTTATTCGGTTACATTACATATTACATAATGGTGTCGATTGTGAGTACGTAGTACCTTTACTACCATGACGCATCCAGTTATTGTTGTGGGAGATTCAAGATCTTTTGTTTTTTTAATTTTTAATTTACGAAATGTCCATCCAAATAATAATATATTATTCATTAGTACAAATATGTGTACATGGCGGACTTAATGCTAAAAGCATTCTCTCCCAGTCAACCGTAGGGAAGTGTCAGAATACTCGAATGCGGTACTAGTAATTATTGATATATATACATACTAAAATTACATATATAAACGAATAAATATATATGAATAACAAATATACTTACACATATATACTATATTATACACGATATTGAGAATAATATAAAACACTTACTGCTCGGATAAAGTAAAAAAGTGAGCGTGAACGTTGTTTTGAAAGACGGTTTAGTCGGTAGTCTCTTAATGGCATCAGGAAGCGCGTTCCAGAGTCGTGAAGAATGTAGGAGAAAAGAGTTTGAAGCGTAACCAGTACGGTTCTATAGTTTAAGTAGATTCGTAGTTTTACGTGCGGCTTACGACTTTTACATCGTCCTAAATATTTGTTTTAACACGCTCGCGTCACGTAGATGGGCGATGGTGACACATTATACTATTATTACATAGATAGTGTCTCTAATACTTCGTCTTCGAATCACTATCTATGATTCGATTTGGGAAATTTTTAATGCAATTACTTGCAACACTGAAAAAATGGCGCGCTTTGTTTTGTTTTTAAAAAAAATATCTGTCAAAATTGAGTCAGCTAAAGTGACATTAGGCCGAGTCAATTTTAACCTGTTTTTGATACTCGATGCTCTATCTATAATCTAAGATTACACTATACAAGAGAACTCAATATTAAGTCAATACTGTTTTGTCCATCAATATTACTTTGTTACTAGAATTGTTGGTGGGAAGATGGCCGTTCATAAATTACGTCACATGGTAAAGAATCTATCATACTCAAAGCCAATTTCTCCAATATTCATTTGATAAAATCATGCCGTGCCAACACAAAATAATTGGTTTTAGGGTAAAAAGTTGTGATGATAATGATGATGACACGGAGAAAAGATGAGTTACAAGCTTCATGATGTCACATAAGTTCATGGAATTTAGATTAAATTATCATTTACTTGCAAAATATATCATGTCACACATGCGAAGGTGGTATTGACAACCCAAATGTGACCACCTGTAATTTACGTACGGCCCTCAAAGTTGGTGAATTTAGTAAAAAATGGAAAATATTTAGTAAACATATTGTGGCATCAACTGCAAAACGAAGGTGTAGATAGATAACCAGACCTTTGGAGCAATATGTCCGGACCTTTATAAGTTTTTTTTTTTAATAATTATTGCTCGACTCTATAGTTTTCTATAAATGGTGTGTCATTGCATTTGACATGACAGTCGTAATGACAGTACATATAAAATAAATATGGCGACCAGGAACTGTCAAACATTCGAAAATTATCAGACTTTCGAAATGTAAATATTTTTGTGACTATTCCACATTCAATTATTTAAAATTCAAGTTTTAAAACCGTTAATGTATATTTACTAAGCTAATCAGTTAGCGACCGTCTTAAATATAAAAACATCTCTTCATCCACGATGGAACAACAATTACAAGGAATAGTGATTTTAATATTTTAGTAAATACTAATTTGAGGGCATTCGTGTCCCAAATTCGTGCTCGAGCACATTACTAGTTGGACTTAGCTGGGCGGCGACAGCTTGTCTGGGGGCTCCCCTGCCCGCAACGTGATGGACGCTGACGGCTCGGGCGATGCTGCATCCTGTTGAAGAGACGTCAAAAAATCTTTAAAAGCGTTCATACTGGACATAGTTAATCACTGTTTCGATATTAGCTTATTGGTCCTCTGGACATTTATTTATTTAATCATCATTATTTTCCAACCGTGAAGCAGTTGTGTTTGCATGGCTGTGTTTCGGTTTGAAGGGTGGGATATGGCGTGAATTTACAGAGTACAGAGGAATAACACCTGAGTCCTCAGGAATGACAACACATGGGGGGTATCATGGGCGAAACAGTATACTCTGTTATGTCCATGGTACTGCTCATGTCTATAGGCGTCGGTTACCACTTTCCATCAGGTGGGCCGTCAGCTTGTTTGCCATTCTATGTTGTATAAAAATAAATAAATGTATAAATGATGTTTTACGCTTTTTACTTTTTTAATTATACAATATTAACATACCTACTTGTACCACCATTACTTCATTACCTTAAGGTTGTCTTGAAAAGATTGCTCTCAGCAATAAGAGGGCCTTACTGTACTTATACAATTGTATCGTTATATTTATTTATTGTCTTGCTTATTTCCTATATTGTATAATGCAAATGAAGTATATTCATTCATTTATATGCCTCCCCTTTAGGAGGTTTTGCAAGTAGTTGCCACGCTTGGTAGGCGGATTGGCAACCGCAGTTAGACTGGAGATGTTTTAAGAGGGACGCTGCTGCCCATCCCTCGCCCTCCCTTAGTTGCCTTTTACTACACCCACGGAAAAGGGTGTGGCCTATTCTATGCCGGGACCACACGGTTAATGTAGAGATATCGTCTAGTTAAAATTTTATTATATCTAATGTTACAAAGAAAAAAGATTTTTGTTTGTATGGGATAAACTAGAAAAATACTTCACCGATTTAATTATTTTACCAGAGGGAGACTTTGTACAAAAGTCGATTGCTTGGGTACCTCTGTCCCATTCGTGTTTCAACCGTGAATGTCTACGCACATAAGGAGAAATAAAGCACATAATGTTCTCCGTATAGCAACACCAGACAAGTCGTTGCTATTCACCCCGTGAATACCGGAGAGATGGAACAGTCAAGTCTTTATAAAAAAAAAAAAAAAAAAACTAATGGCTTTCAAGAGAGTAGGTAGATGTGTGTACACGGAACAGTTTTCAAGTTATTTTTATATAATATAAAATTTACAGTCTAACTATTTGTATATCTATTCATTAATAAATATAATAAGTCAAGAATAAAAATTTATTCACGCCTCGAAAAAGGGAAAAGATTGGTGATCGAAACAAATTGGTGACCCCGACGTGATTTCAACTTTACAAATTTACAAGTTTATCAAGTGGCAAAAATCTCCATCATCAACACTATATGTTATTCGAAGATTTGAAACAATAATCACAGGGAAGTAAGCCCAATCATTGTAATAAATTCCTATCCATTCCTTTTTTGTGTGGGTAGAAGTTGACAATTAAAAGTACGGATATATTTTTCGTTTAACTATTAATATTTCATTTTATATTGTATGTGGAGGTTTTTAGTACGATATAACGATCACTAAAATCATATTTAAATTCACGCCGGTGTTTTTTATCGGGTATTCAGAGAGGTTTCAACAAATATATTTGTAGCTACTTTTGATTTACTAAGTTCTATAACATATTAACTTGGAGCTGTTTTCAATGTGTGAATTACTTCAGTATAAGTCAGTACCTATTGATTCATTGTTTGCACTTTAATAATGGCAGACTATAAAGATTTAGTAAAACAACGGAGCACAATTAGAGCTCAATTAACATTGTTTGAAAAATATTTACGACCATTACTGGAAACTCGAGAAATAAATAAGGTTAGGATTCATGAATTAAACTTAAGGCTATAAAAACTCGTGAACTATCATATAACTTTGATAAGGTGCAGACAGACATTGAGAAGTGGGTATTGGATGAAGATTTAGATAAACAAATTGAGGAACGCGAACAAACAGAAAATAAATTCTTTTCTTTAATTGCTGAAGCTGAAGCTCTGTTAGAATATTACAATAATGAAAACCAATCTGAAACTTCATCTGCCAACACTCAGTCTGCCTTAAATCTGAAGCTACCTCCATTACATATTTTAAGATTCGACGGACAGACCAGCATGTGGATAACCTTCAGGGATACCTTTCTGTCTTTGATTCATGAGAATGGAAGTATTCAAGAAGTTGCTAAGTTTCACTATTTGAAGTCCTATCTAGATGGCGCTGCCAGTGACGTTATTAGTTCTATCGCTGTTTCTGCAGCTAATTATCGAATTGCTTGGAACTTATTATGTGATAGGTACAATAATAAACGTATATTAATTAATGAGCATTTAAAAGCGATATTTTCAATCGAACCTTTGTCTAAGGAATCAGATAAGGGTATTCGTTGTTTAATTGATGCATTTTCTAAAAATTTAAGCGCATTAAATAGTTTAGAAGAGCCGACTGATTCATGGGACACGATTATTATATACATAGCAGTTAGTAAATTAGACAGTATTACAGCGGGTAAATGGGAAGAATTTAGAAGCAATAAGGAATCACCTACTTTACAAAATTTTTATACATTTTTACGTCAAAGGGCAACAGTTTTAGAGACAGTCAATGCTAATAGATCAAATAAAAATGAAAAACGCAACAATATGGTTAAATCTAAATCATTTATGATTTCCTCAAAGACATCTCCTGATTTTTCTTGCACAGTTTGTGGTTTAAAACACAAGTTGTTTGACTGCAGTATGTTTAAATCGTTATCAATAGAAGAACGTATTGCTAAGGTTTCTGCCGGTCGTCTATGTAAGAATTGTTTCCGAGGCGGCCATCGATCATTCCAGTGCAAAATGAGCGGCTGTAGAATCTGCAAAGGAAAACATAATATATTACACAAACAACTTTCATTACCTGTAAATTCAACCACTCCACCTCAAACACACATACCATGTGATCAACAAACACATGATTCATCTACAGTACTGACAACTACACACAATGCTACCATTCTAAATGAACCTAAAACCACAGCTAATTTCTCGAATTCTATAATTATGTTATGTCGCCGCCAATCAAGCTCTTTTGTCTACAGCGTTGGTCAAGGTGACAAACAATGACAAACCCTACATATTAAGGGCTTTATTAGATAGTGGTAGCCAGTCTACGTTTATAACTACAAAGGCACTACAGTTGATCGGACTAAACAATATTCAAATGTTCATCAATGTGTTTCTGGTATAAAACACAACTTTAAACATTACTAAATTAATAGATATCACAATACATTCTACAGTGAACACCTTTAGCATTCCGATACGATGTTATGTCTTACCTTATCACAGATTCCTTACCTCACAAATCAATATGTATTAATGGGTTAGGTATTCCAAATAATATACAACTTGCAGATCCTAAGTTTTATCAATCATCAGAAATTGATATTCTTTTGGGAGCATGTTTTTTGGGAGTTGCTAGATAATTCAAAAATAAAACTAGGTCCTAAATTACCTATCCTTCAAAAAAAATTAGGCTGGATTGTAACCGGTCCTATTAGCGGAGGTAGTTCAAATAGTCATGTTATCAAATGCCATTTTTCTCAAGAGATATATAAACAACTAGCTATGTTCTGGGAATTAGAAGAAATACCTAATAATCCTAAATCTCTTGATGACAATTATTGTGAGAGGTTCTTTCGAGAAACTACTAAACGAGATGACAATGGAAGATTTTGTGTACAAATTCCACTTAAAGAATCACCACAAGTGTTAGGTGATTCATACAACGTTGCACTTAAAAGGTTTAAACAAATGGAAAGAAAGTTTAAACGCGATTCTTCTTTCCATCGAAATTATAGTAATTTTATATATGAGTACAAAGAGTTAGGGCATCTTGATGAAATATCCGATCATGAAAAATTAGGCTATTATCTTCCGCATCATGCATTAATCCGAGAGAGTAGTAGTACCACAAAATTACGTGTGGTTTTCGATGCATCGTCAAAAACGTCATCTGGAAAATCCTTAAATGATATTCAATATGTAGGTCCAGTAGTACAGAACGATTTACTATCTATCTTAATACGCTATAGACAACACAAATTCGTTATCACAGGAGATATTGAAAAAATGTATAGGCAAATTCTTGTCGACCCTAATCAGCGCAGTTTGCAAAAAATTTTATGGCGTGATAACGAACAGCAACCAATTAAAACATTTCAATTGAACACCGTAACCTATGGTACCGCTTCTGCATATTTCTCAGTACCAGGTGCCTCATTCAATTGTCATTGGAATGCACTGATCCTATTATAGCAAGGTTATTGAAGGAAGATTTTTATGTAGATGATTTTTTATCGGGTGCTGAGACTGAATATGAGTTAAAAAATATAGTTAACTCTGTAACTACTATTCTATCTGCTTGCTTTCCGCTATATATTCCGAACGAACGCCCCATCTATATTTGATGATAATCCTGACACCTTGACACCCAAATATTAGATGTGAATGCTCGAACTAGTGCTTTAGGTCTCAAGTGGGATCCACGAAGTGATACTCTTGAGTTTTCTTTAAATATTAATACACAAGAGAGGATTACTAAAAGATCAATCCTGTCCAACTCAGCTAAATTATTGGACCCCTTAGGTCTATTAGGACTTTGTACTATCATTCCAAAAATGATTTTACAAAAAATATGGTTGAGCAAATTGGAATGGGATGATCCTTTACCAAAGGAACTGGAACAGTTGTGGATAGATTTTATTTTAAATTTGAACAGTCTATCATCTGTTCGTATTCCTCGTTGTGTTTGTATAGCTAATCCCATTAATGTCGAGCTACATGCGTTTTCAGATGCATCTGAATCATATATATGCATGTACATGAGATCGATTGATGATGCAGGAAATATTTTAGTTAGATTACTATGTGCAAAAACCAAGGTCGCTCCATATATTAGTATACCTCGATTAGAACTTTGCGGTGCATTATTATCAGCCCGGTTAAGTGCAAAGGTAATGAGTTCAATTCGACGTAAAATTACATATATATTTCTGGACAGATTCATCAATAGTTCTTGAGTGGTTACACTAATCTCGCGACTTGAAAACATTCGTGTCCAATCGAGTATAAATTCAGCAGCTAACACTTGCGCAATCTTGGAGACATGTGCCGAGTCAACTAAATCCAGCTGACTTAGCATCGCGTGGCTTGAATCCCAAACAAATTCAGAGGGTAAATTTATGGTGGGATGGTCCTGAATTTCTATGAAGGGAATGGCAAAACATATATTTACCTGAAAGAAAAAATCTAACTACTACTGCTAAAACATTAACAAACACTGTTACAACTACATACACACATACAAGTATTAATATTAATAAAGTCACACAAATTATTGATTTCAACAAGTATTCTAAATTTACAACTTTACAGAGAGTCATGGCTTATATACTAAGATATTTACATAACAGTAAATGTAAAATAGACAAACATACGGGACACTTAACTGTCGAAGAACTTAATTTAGCGATGAAAAGGTTAATTAAACTACATCAACAAGAATGTTTTGCTACTGAGATAAATATTTTAAAAATAAACAAAAACTTACCTTCTAAATCGCGACTGCTTTCTCTAAGTCCATTTCTAGACGATAACGGGTTCCTGCGTGTCGGTGGCCGTCTCCAAAATTCTTCTGAAATTTATACAAAAAAGCATCAAATTTTGCTTGACTGCAGTCACAATTTTACTAAACTTCTTTTTGCATATATGCATAAAAAGCATTTACATAGTGGACCACAATTATTATTAGCCAACATACGAAATGAATACTGGCCTCTGAAGGGTAGAATTTTGGCTCGTGGTACAATAAATAAATGTTCTGTATGCAGATTAATGAAAGTCAATCTATAAATCCTTTAATGGGAAACTTACCAGCTTCAAGAGTTACTCCAAGTTATCCATTCGAAGTCAGCGGTGTAGATTTTGCCGGGCCGTTCTTGATCACAGACAGAAAGGGACGCGGTTGTAAAATATCGAAGAGCTATTTATGCTTATTTATTTGTTTTGCCACAAAGGCAATACATTTAGAAATCGCTAGCGATTTATCAACGGATGCATTTATTATGTGTGTGGTTTATATCACGCAGAGGAAAACCGAATCAAATCTATTGTGACAACGGTACTAATTTTGTAGGTGCAAATAATGAAATTAATAGTTTTCTAAATTCAGAACATGAAAAAATCTCCACGTTTGGCGCTGATGAGGGCATTAAATTTAATTTCTCACCTGCATACTCTCCTCACTTTGGAGGTTTTGGGAAGCCGGCGTAAAGGCGGCCAAATTTCATGCGGTCAGAATATTAGGTGATAGGCATTTGACGTTCGAGGAATTGTCGACTTTATTCACACAAATCGAAGCAATCCTAAATTCCCGACCTTTGACCCCTCTCTCATCCGATCCTACAGACTTAGAACCTTTAACTCCAGGGCACTTCCTAATTGGTAGAATGCTAACATCATTGCCATCTCCTAATTTACAAGATATTAATCCAAACCGATTAAACCGGTACCAACTACTAGAACAATTGAAACAACACTTTTGGGGACGTTGGAGAAACGAATATTTGTGTGAATTGCAACAGAGGAATAAATGGAGAATAAATCAAGACAATCTAAAGGAAGGAGACATGGTTATCTTGAAGGAGCTAATATTCCACCACTAAAATGGAGAGTTGGACGTATACATAAATTGTACCCTGGACGAGATGGAGTTCACTAGAGTGGCAGATATTAAAACTGCGAAAGCATTTATCGGCGAATTAAAACCTGCCCACTACTTCACGAGGATGATAAAACAGATCTTCGAGCCTCTGAACCTTCAGTCATCGACCGGAGGGAGGATGTCTACGCACATAAGGAGAAATAAAGCACATAATGTTCTCCGTATAGCAACACCAGAAAAGTCGTTGCTATTCACCCCGTGAATACCGGAGAGATGGAACAGTCAAGTCTTTATAAAAAAAAAAAAAAACTAATGGCTTTCAAGAGAGTAGGTAGATGTGTGTACACGGAACAGTTTTCAAGTTATTTTTATATAATATAAAATTTACAGTCTAACTATTTGTATATCTATTCATTAATAAATATAATAAGTCAAGAATAAAAATTTATTCACGCCTCGAAAAAGGGAAAAGATTGGTGATCGAAACAGTGAAGCAGTTGTGTTTGCATGGCTGAGTTTCGGTTTGAAGGGTGGGATATGGCGTGAATTTACTGGGTACACAGGAATAACACCTGAGTCCTCAGGAATGGCAACGCATTGGGGGATATCATGGGCGAAACAGTATACTCTGTTATGTCCATGGTACTGCTCATGTCTATAGGCGACGGTTACCACTTTCCATCATATATAAAGTTGTATAAAAAAATAGAAAAAAATGATCTGTGCATTATTTGAATTTGAATAAAAAATCATGTGTGAAATCTAAGAAAGCTACATTATTAGCAAAGAGGTATTTAAAAAAACCGTACTAAACCAGGACGGGACTATGTACATTACGTACATGTACAGTAAAAGTTCTTTATTCGTGGCCTATACGTTCCGTCAATATTGACGGTATATACTGCAATTATAGAAACCGTGAATATGGAAAACCGAACCACTTATACAGCGGCAATAACATTTGACAACATACTTTAGGCGTAGTTGTAATAAGGTCTGTTTTACTTTTTTATTACTCCTTTTGCCGACGCGTTTACAACGGACACCGAATCCTTTTCATTAATATGCACCGATTAGATCCGTGAATAATGAATCTTTAGCCGCGAATATAGGAATTGGGTCGCAATTTTTTAATCCGCGAATAAAGGGAGCGTGAATAAGGAGCTTTTAATGTTTTAATAGTCGTAGAAGTGGTTACCTGTACATCCGTGGACGTGCTTTCTTGCTGCTTCTGTTTGCGTCGCTCCACATGCCCGAAGCAGTGTTCGCACTCGTCGTCGCTCGACTCCGAGTCAGACTCGCCGAACCTTCGCGGCTTTTCGTATATACAACAGCCTGGAATGTAAGAGAACAGAAACCTTTAATCATACTGCTGGGATAAATCGTCATAGGCATAAATAGGCATGGGAATATAATATTTATGCCTATGACGATTTATCCCAGAATTAATATATGGGCAATAATATTGTTACAATACCTATATAAAAAATAATAAAATATACATAAAATTATATATATATATATATATATATATATATATATATATATATATATATATATATATATATACATGTCATATATTATAAAGAGGAAAACTTTGTTTGGTTGTAATATATATCAAAAACTACTGGACCGTTTTTAAAAATTCTTTCACCATGAAAGCTACATTATCCACGAGTATATAATCTATTTTGGAAAAAATCTATGTAAAATATATATTATAATCACAGTCAAAAAATATATATGAAAAGTACGTACGCTGCCTATATAAAAGATAGAACCATATCTATGAAGTCTATATATAAATATGTACAAAAAAGTCCGCAACACACGTTTATATATGTACGTTTATATTTATACGTGTATACGTCATATATATGGAGTCATATCTATGAAGTCATATCTATGAGTCATATCTATGTAGTCATATCTATGAAGTCATATCTATGTCATATCTATGAAGTCATATATATGGAGTCATATCTATGTAGTCATATCTATGAAGTCATATGAAGTCATATCTATGAAGTCATATATATGGAGTCATATCTAGTCATATATATGGAGTCATATCTATGTAGTCATATCTATGAAGTCATATATATGGAGTCATATCTATGAAGTCATATATATAGTCATATCTATGAAGTCATATATATGGAGTCATATCTATGTAGTCATATATATGGAGTCATATCTATGAAATCATATATATGGAGTCATATCTATATAATCATATCTATGAAGTCATATATATGGAGTCATATCTATGTATCATATCTATGTCATCTATATATATGGAGTCTATATAGTCATATCTATGAAGTCATATCTATGAAGTCATATCTATATAATCATATCTATGGAGTCATATCTATGTAGTCATATCTATATAATCATATCTATGTAGTCATATCTATGAAGTCATATATATGGAGTCATATCTATGGAGTCATATCTATATAATCATATCTATGTAGTCATATCTATGAAGTCATATATATGGAATCATATCTATGGAGTCATATCTATATAGTCATATCTATGAAATCATATCTATGGGAGTCATATCTATGTAGTCATATCTATGATAATCATATCTATGAAGTCATATCTATGGAGTCATATCTATGTAGTCATATCTATGAAGTCTTATCTATGTAGTCATATCTATGAAGTCATATATATGAAGTCATATATATGGAGTCATATCTATATAATCATATCTATGAAGTCATATATATGGAGTCATATCTATGAAGTCATATCTATAGTCATATCTATATAATCATATCTATGAAGTCATATATATGGAGTCATATCTATGAAGTCATATCTATGAAGTCATATCTATGTAGTCATATCTATGAAGTCATATCTATGAAGTCATATCTATGGAGTCATATCTATGAAGTCATATCTATGGAGTCATATCTATATAATCATATCTATGTAGTCATATCTAAGAAGTCATATCTATGAAGTCATATCTATGGAGTCATATATATGGAGTCATATCTATATAATCATATCTATGAAGTCATATATATGGAGTCATATCTATGAAGTCAATCATATCTATATAATCATATCTATGTAGTCATATATATGAAGTAATATATATGGAGTCATATCTATGTAGTCATATCTATGAAGAGTCATATCTATGAAGTCATATGTATATGGAGTCATATCTATGTAGTCATATCTATGGAGTCATATCTATGTAGTCATATCTATGAAGTCATATCTATGAAGTCATATCTATGTTATATCATGTAATCATATCTATGAAGTCATATATATGGAGTCATATCTATGGGAGTCATATCTATATAATCATATCTATGAAGTCAGTCATATCTATGAAGTCATATATATGGAGTCATATCTATGTAGTCATAAATATATAATCATATCTATGAAGTCATATATATGGAGTCATATATATGGTATCATATCTATTCAGTCATATCTATATAAACATATATATGAAGTCATATATATGGAGTCATATCTATATAATCATATCTATGAAGTCATATATATGTAGTCATACCTATATAATCACATCTATGAAGTCATATATATGGAGTCATATCTATATAATCATATCTATGAAGTCATATATATGGAGTCATATCTATGAAGTCATATCTATATAAGTCATATATATGGAGTCATATCTATGAAGTCATATATATGGAGTCATATCTATATAATCATATCTATGAAGTCATATATATGGAGTCATATCTATGTAGTCATATCTATATAATCATATCTATGTAGTCATATCTATGAACTCATATGAAGTTTATAGATATGACTTTCTAGATATGACTACATACAATATAATACCAATACAGCATTTCCCCTCATCCAGATGATCGACAACAGTATGCGTCAGAAGCGTCACACCCTGACGAAATCCGAACTGATTGTTGTTTAAAATTTTATTTTCCTGTAGAAACCTAACTAGCCGCTTGTATATATATAATAAATATTAGCTTTTGGAGTTATCCGATTTTTAGGCCGCCTTCGATACACGCGACGCCCGGTAGGCCTGTGACATGGCGTACCGGAAGTTGGAAGTTGTTCAAATAGACTCGTTTACAAGCACTTTTAAATCCTCATTTTTTAAATCTACTGCAGGGTTCAGAAAGTCTGTTGAGAAGAGACAGAGAAAGTCAATAGTTACTCTTTTAAATCACTGTTAACATTACGTGTATTTATTTAAATGTACTATCTCTAAAATTACATGGTCGTTAAAAGCTCGTGCATGATCGACTAGCACCATGCACATTTGTCATTCAAGTAATCATTTAGTGTGTATTGTGTACTAGTGTGCTTTGTGTACTAGTGCGAGTAATATCAATAATATTTTACCAGAGGGAGACTTTGTACAAAAGTCGTTTGCTTGGGTACCTCTGTCCCACTCGTATTTCTATCGTGAAACAGTCGTGTTTCGGTCTGAAGGATGGGATATGGCAGTGAATTTACGGAGTACAGATAACTAACATCCGAGTCCTCAGGAATGGCAACGCATGGTAGGTATCATGGGCGGAACGGTATACTCTGTTATGCCCATGGTACTGCTCGTGTCTATAGGTGACGGTTACCACTTTCCATCAGGTGGGCCGTCAGCTTGTTTGCTATTCTAAGTTGCATAAAAAAAAATTACATTTGGACTTCTTCTTGTTCATGTTCTCGTTGTCGACCGTGTCCTCCGTCCAGACGACCTTCTTGCGGGCCTGCGCACGCGTAGGTCGCAGGGTTATCACCGCCACAGGCTCCACGGACTCCTTTAAAAATACAAAAAGAATTTTACTCAACCATTGCAATTTAGAACAGAATGTCATAATGATAACCCATTATCGTTTTAATAGTAAAAAAAAAAAAACAGCACACGATTAAAGTTCTCGGATGGTCCCGTAACTGATGGAGTACTTACTATTGACAAAAAATCAAACACCAAATAGTCTAAAAAATTCGAAGGCCTCCTTGGGAATTCCATCATCAGATCCTGACTTGGTAACAATGGGACTACCTCAGGAGTATATTCTTTCGAATAAAAAAAGAAATTTTGGAATCGGTTCATAATTGATGGAGAATTTATTTATTTATAAATAATGTTTATTTATTTATTTATAATAATAATTAAATGTGACTTTATTTAAAAAAAAATTTAGCGCACATGCATAAAAAATATATAAAATGGAACATATAACCTCATTTTTTAAGTCGGTTAAAAATAAGACTGGTTTTTTTCTTACAGTTAAAATATAATGTGTACTTACGAAGGTCATAATATCCAACATACAACAGTTATGACATCTACCAGAGGGAGACTTTGTACAAAAGTCGATTGCTTGGGTATCTCTGTCCCATTCCTGTTTCTACCGTGAAGCAGTTGTGTTTGCATGGCTGTGTTTCGGTTTGAAGGGTGGGATATGGCGTGAATTTACAGAGTACAGAGGAATAACACCTGGCAACGCATGGGGGGGGGGGGTATCATGGGCGAAACAGTATACTTTGTTATGTCCATGGTACTGCTCATGTCTATAGGCGACGGTTACCACTTTTCATCAAGTGGGCCGTCAGCTTGTTTGCCATTTTTAGTAGTATAAAAAATACTTCACCATAGGGGGGGGGGGGTTCCAATAGTTGCTACGCTTGGCAGGCGGGTTGGCAACCGCAGTTAGGCAGTAGTAATGTTTTAAGCGGTACTCTACTGCCAATTCCTCGATCATTAAGTCCCCTTAATCGCCTCTTACTACACTCACGGGAAAGGGATGGCCCATTCTATACTGGATTTTTTAATATAGTAACACTCAAGTATAGACAAATACTAAGATAGCAATATTAATGTACCTAATGCCTTATTTACATAATTTAATTATTTAATAATTCAAATTACTTTATGATAAGATAAGAAATACATTAGCATTCTTAACAATGTTTATTCATGACATAATTTATAACAGGTAGCGCGTTTAATATAAAACATATTATTTCACAACTTTCTTAGCAAACAAGCTGTCCACGTCACACTCGTTATATCCTAAGAAATCGGCCAGTATCTCCCTGGTGTGCTGTCCCAAAGTGGGGGGCGCTGTTCTGGGAAAGTTGCCACCTTCGCTGTAAACTGTCGGGGCCCCCACCACCTTTATGGTGCCAGCTTTGGGGTGTGGCAACTCCTTCACGAGTCCTATTGCTCTCACGTGCACATCTTCGAAGACGTCTCTCATCGTGTTGACTGGACCGTTTGGGAAGGACGCATCACTGAATATCTCTGACCACTCCTTTCGTGTCTTTGTTTTTATGACGTTGCTTATGATCTCTATAACAGCTTCACGATTCTCAACGCGCGCTTTATTATCCTTGAATCGGGCATCGTTTATCAATTCTTCTCTTTCGATCCGCTTGCAGAAGTCAGCGAATTGGGCGTTCGAACCTGTTCCTATTACAATGTCTCCGTCTTTCGTCTTGAAGGCTTGGTAGGGTACTAGGTTCGCGTGCGCGGTGCCCCACCTCTGGCTGTCGATGCCGCAGTTCAAATATATATTGGCGATGTTGATCATGCTGGATATCTGCGTGGACAGTAGGTTGCAGTCTATTTTCTGGCCTCTGCCAGTCACTTGACGGTAGTACAGAGCGGTCATAATAGCCCCGAAGGCGTGGAGGCCCGTGGTCACGTCCGTGATGGCGACTCCTGGTTTGACGGGGTTGCCATTTCGTTCGCCTGTCGCGTTTAAGAGACCGCCCATCGCTGATGCTATTACGTCATAGCTGTAAAATAAATAAAGACCTTGAGTATACTAAGTAAGATATTAGGCACACAATTGCTAAGTATAACATGTTAGCTTTTACTCGCGACTTCGTCTGCGTGACCGGGATATGTTTACTGACCGCGATAGATATAGTCTACGTCCTACCCATCCCATATAGTATGTGTATACCAAATTTCATTGTAATTGGTTAAATCGTTAAGACGCTAACAAGTAATAAACAAACAAACAAACTCACTTTCACATTCATAATATTAGTAAAGGTCTGTATATAGTAGGAGGAATAAAATAATCTGCAATCTGTACAAACAGTGCTGTCAAATTTGTGTGAAATAAAAAAAAAATGTTAAAAAATATTTTAAATTTTGACCAACAGTAGATTAGCTAGATTTTCTTTTGTTATATATTTCCATTACAGATTTGTTCAAAATTTCATGTTCAATAAATAATAAAAATACAATATCAATTAAAATGTACAAAAAATGATTATTTTTTCACACTGTTTACATTACTTTATCTTTTAAAAATAACTTCTGATACGAGTATATACCTAATACATATTTGTTTAAATTATTTACCCAGGCTTCTTGGCGTACGGTCCCGTGGGCCCGAAACCAGTAATGGCACAGTATATCAGCTTAGGATTGACGTGTTTCAATTTCTCATAGCCGACTTCGAGCTGGTCCAGCTTCCCTGGTAGATAGTTCTCAACCACCACATCACATTTCTTAGCCAAATCATATATAATATTCTTACCTGAAAATTAATGTATAAATAACTTAATAGCAAAATCTCCAGTTGGAGATTCAAAGTTACAAAAATTTTTTTTATGATAAGTTTATCATAAAAAAACAACAACTTAGAATGGCAAACAAGCTGATGGCCCACCTGATGAAAAGTGGTAACCGTCGCCTATAGACATGAGCAGTACCATGGACATAACAGAGTATACTGTTTCGCCCATGATACCTCCCATGCGTTACCATTCCTGAGGACTCAGGTGTTATTCCTCTGTACCTTGTAAATTCATGCCAATATATATCACAAAATATGTATATTGATGCTTATAGGCGATGGTTGCTACCTTACATCAGATGGACCTAAGACTTGTTTATATCATAATAAAAATACAATTAAGATTGGTTTATGTCAGTGTGGCATATTATTATGATAATGGAACAAACATTTCTTCCATCATGCTATCTGTGACCTACATACAATGTACAGCATTTACACATTAGGAATAATGTTGTTATTTTCCATTCCAAGTAATCACAATGCAATATTTATATTGTATAATTGAGTATAATATACTAACCAGAGAAAAGCTAGTTTTTCAGTTAATATACAATTTAGCTTTTCTTTCCTCCAAAACATTACAGTAGTAAATTTATAAAACCATTTTTTATTTTAATTTTTACCACACCTTTTACACCTGAGTCCTCAGGAATAGCAACACATGGGGGCATCATGGGCGAAACAGTATACTCTGTTATGCCCATGGTATTACTCATGTCTATAGGCGACAGTTACCACTTTCCAGCAGGTGGGCTGTCAGCTTGTTTGCCATTCCAAGTTGTATAAAAAAAAGTAAACTATATTATAAATACAAATAATTACAAAAACAAGTGTAATTTATTGTTTTTGTTTGTGTTATTATTATTTTTCTATACGGTTTTTGTTTCTATTCAAATGGTTGGTCTATATATATATATATATATATATATATATATATATATATATATATATATATATATATATATATATATATATATATATATATATATATATATATATATATATATATATATATATATATATATATATTGTTGTTCTAAAGAATATTATTTTTCACTGTGTCCCTCTACATAATTACATGAGCACACTGAGAAAACATTGGGTGGCCTAACTGCTAATAAAGTGATCTTGTCAAAGCGACCTTTGGATGGAGAGGAGTAATTATAAACAGTTTAATAGGAGGCACAATGATAATTCCATAATTTTTAAATACATGTGAAGGTGAAATATATTACATACATACATACATATCTGTCACGCCATACATATCTATGTAATATATTCTATAATGTAAATATATCCTTACTTACTGTGTACAATTTACAGGGTACAGAGGAATAACATTTGAGTCCTCAGGAATGGCAACGCATAAGGGTTATCATGGGTGAAACAGTAGGTATACTCTGTTATGTCCATGGTACTGCTCATGTCTATAGGCGACAGTTACCACTTTCCATCAGGTGGGCCGCCAGCTTATTTGCCATTCTAAGTTGTATAAAAAAAAATGCTATCCAGGAACATTTCATTTTCTTACAGGTATTTATTTATGAGTAAGATTTATCTTCTTTTTTAAATAAGTATTCTTTCCTAAAATATGGAGATTTAAAATATTGATGTACAATAAGATGTAAGATATTGATGTACTAATTATAAATGTAAATTTATTTAATGTAAAAATATTTCACTACATAAATTCATTTCATGTAGAAACACAGTAACACACATGTAAATAGTTTATAATAATTAATTATTTAAATTGTTATCAGTATTATGGAAAATTAAATTTATCTGAATAATAATAATTTAAAACTGTAACTCACTTACCTTCCCGAGTCTTTAAATCCACACAAACACTCTTTTTATTTCTGTTTACCGATAAAAAGTAATATGAATCCGTAGAGTCTTTTATGAATGGAGGACCCCATTTCCTAGCTTCATCACCTTCCAGGCTCTCAATTTTGATAATGTTAGCACCCAGGTCACCCAGGGTCAAAGTGCAAAAAGGTCCAGCTATCACCCGTGACAGGTCCAAAACATTGATGCCGGTCAATAGAGCCGGTACCTTCGTAGAATAATCGCACCTCAACGACCATGGTTGAGGCTTTAAAATAATCCGAAACAATGTACCGACTGTTGCCATCGCGCGTTACAATTAAATAAAACATTTCACTCAATTACTGTGTAGTTATCACAAATGTATTAACAAATCAAACAGAGGAGATAAGAGCATTCGAAACACAAACGATAGGTATCTCATCTTACCTCTTGCGATTGTGGAGTGACGGTGGTTACTGCGGTACTCGTAGTGGCCATATCTTCAGGTCGCACTCTCCGCTGGTTATCGCCCATGTAATTAGATCTCAATCATGTAATATTTACACATAACACGGACAAAATACGCAACACAGAAATTAATAATTAATTTTATGTAATGATACCATTATCACGATCTATGGCTTATATTAATAAGCCGTAATTAATGTATTTCACTTACAAAATGAAATGACCGTGAAATTTTAGTTCCTAATGAAGTTATTAAAAATATTCCATAAGATATGTCATAAAATTGAATTTTTTTTTAAAGTATACACAGGTGAGTAAAAGAAATAAAACGCATTCGAACCTATGTGACTTTGACCAAAATATGTTTATATGAAATCTATGAAACCAGATCAATTAATTTGTAAATTTTACACTATATAGCTTGATTTACGGTTTATGGTGTAAAATTTTAAAAGTTTTATTAAATCTATAAACATTAATAATTTGGTCATAAGCATGCATATATGAAAAGATTTATAAATGTGGAGGAATGGGGTTCTTCAAAAAAAGAAGTAAGGAGGTTTCTTTAGGGTCGGTACCACAGATGTTAATAGACTATGGTAACCGCTTACTATCAGGTGTGCCATATTGTTGTTTACCATCTCAGTGTTATATAAAAATAAAAGCGAAAGAAGCCTATTGAAATGAAGTATTTGGCGTTTCTTTATTTTTGCCTATCCTAATAGGAGATAGGCGGTGGGGGGAAAAAAATGTTAGTAATGTGGACTACCAGTCCCGTTGCTAGCAATATACCCTATCAGATCGACTTCTACGTGGTTCCCCTTGAAAACCAACGTGCTGATTTCCAGGTTTATTCATCACAATAGGCTAAATGAGCTGCCTTTTCATTCTCATCTATTATCCCTCACTGGTGCCCGTCAGCCTATACTGTTAGTGCATTTCTTTATCATCCATTAAAAAAGATCGGAGGTAGGCATCACTAATATATATGTATTTTTTTCTTTGGTAGCATAGACTGTTCACTTTTATCAATATATAGATAATGCTGACTTTTGGATAAATTGCTTGCATTGACTGATACTTCACTTTCACAATATTTAACTGACAGTATGACTGACATAAAATTGTCAACAGTGATAATAACTTGACCGTTAGTGGTAGCATAGATACTGTATTTGAGCGCAACTACTATTCTTAATCTATTGTATGGGACAATAAATTCCCATGTAATTAGTGAATAAATCATCGATACCTACTCAAGTTGGAATTAAAACACTCCACATTGTAACTCCAAAAACATAGTGCTGTACCCATCGTCTCTTCTTCAGTGGCTAAAACTAATGTTTAAATCGTTTTATGTATGAGCAAAAATCATGTGGAGTAGAATATTTAACAAAATTAGGTCTAAAAAGACTTTAACGTGCTCAGTTATAAGCAATAAAGGGGCCAATAAATAGGTTTGACAACCCCATTGTTAACAAATTATTTTATCTAATTGACCTCTTTATAATCCCATTTAGAAACCATTATTTATTTATTCAATTTAGAAGCAAATATGTAGTTATAATTAATAATCAATATATAAGAAATACCGTTACAATGATTATTGTATTAACGCACCTGTTGTTGACGACGTTGCTGGAATCATGGTTTTTGACCGTAGCTACGAGACAAATCGTGACTAAAAGAAGAAATAATAGTCTTCAGTTCATTGCACCCACCGTTCATATTATGATCTGCAATATGAGTTAGTTTTATAGAAAAAATGCTAACAGAGGGAAAAAATATGCACACCGGGTCAGCTAGCCACTTTAATTGTGTACAACACTTCATTCCTCTTTCAATTATAATTACATCCCCACACACTTATAGTGTTAGCTATTTTTGATTGAACTAAAAAATATATATTCTACAAATAATGTATAAGGTAAAACGTTTGCCGGGTCAGCTAGTTGTATTATAATAAACATGTAGCTTCCTGAAATAACATTTGATATTTATAAAAAATATCCATCAACCAAAAAATAATCAAATTATGGTATCTAAATTTCTGGAAAATTAGTCACGATGGGAGAATTGACCTGCTTTCATCTTCACCTATTATCTTTCACTGGTGTCTCGCTAGCATATACCGATAGCGTCGGCAGGTTACATCCATTAAAAAAAAAAACAAATCTAGCTAGCAGGGTATATTGCTATAGGTCAGATCGAACTCCACGAAACCATCGTTCTGAATTGTATTTTCTATTATTTATTTAATTTTTATTTATTTATGCTTTATTGACCACATTACAAAAAAAAAATGTCTGGTACAAAAGGCGGACTTAATACTATATAGCATTCTCTCGCAGTCGACCTTTGGCTAAACAGAAATTTTATTATGCGGTGAAAAAAATTACAACACATACAATAGAGATTATATAAATATACATACATGAATATATTAAACAAATATTACGTAAATATACAAATATGTAATAAAAATACATATATACAAATATAAATATACATATATAAATATTCATCACGATGGACTAACTAACCTACCTTTACCTCCTCTCCTATCATTACTCATTAGTGCCCTGCTAGCATATACTGTTAGCGCGGGCGGGATTATCATTTCATTATCATCTATTAAAACTGACCATTCCATTAACACCCATTTATTTATTTATTTAATAAGGTTCACCTACAACTTTTACATTTTACATGCTACTTAATTAATAATACAAAAAATAATTTTGCCCAATGTAAAAGTCTTTTACAGGCGAACACCACATGCACTATTATAATATTTAATAATTATTTACAATGACAATAACAATATCCGAATAATAAGTAGATTAAGAAATTATGTCTTAAGATTTTCCTCAAAAAGTTAAATCTGCTGTTGATGGATCCAAAATTGATGTCAATTTGATCGCTGTGAGCATTTAGAATCCTACATAATCTGGGTACAGGCGAGTTGGCTCCTAACACTGTTCTTCTTAACGGAGGACATAAAGGTGTTATCTGTTTCCGAGGATTTTATTTTCCCGTTAAAAATAAACCTAAATGAAAGAAGACATCAGTATAATAAATGAAATAATTTTGACATATCAAAATAAATATTAAATCTCAAATAAATATAATGTCTGGTATGCTGTCAGTTACAGGCAACAAACACAGAATTTATTGCGAATCCGACCATCATATTTGCAATTTTTCAATATTAAATAGGTATGTGCCGTCGGAAATATAATTTCGATGTGAACTGAATTCTTTGGAATTATTCCAGAACTTGCCGGTTTCCTGTGGGGAAAACATCGGCTTGGCTGAATAAAAATAAAGCTATATACCTACCTTTATATAACAAGCAAAGTGCGACGATCTCTGTTTATTTACGACCGTGGCACCAACTTTAGCTTCGTTGTCGACAAAGTGTAGGTGATACCACACCTCCACGATTTTCTGCCATCTATATTGGACATATCACTAACTAACTGTATAGAACGTCTAATTGTACAGAGTTCAGTACAAGTCCAAACGTCCTCAAGGTAGATCACAAACGCGATAGATTGATTTCATAGAAACGTTTTGTTAAACTTGGTGTCATCTTACAGAAGTAGTCATTTGATTAGAATTATTTTGTTTAATTCCGCTACACGGAGTATGCGTGCAATTGCTGACATTTAGAGAATGACTATTATTACCAGAAGTTTGCTGTGTGGTCCCGGCATAGAACAGGACACCCGTTGCTTTCCCGTGGATGTCGTAAAAGACTATTAAGGAAGGGCGAGGGATGGGCAACAGCGTTCCTCGAAGCCAAACTTTCAAAACATCTTCAAAGCCTAACTGCGGTTGCTAATTCGCAAACGTGGCAACTACTGGCAAACCCCCTCAAGGGGGAGACTTATGTTCAGTAGTAAATAGTTAAAGTCTGATATGATGACGATGATGTTACAAATATTACTAATTTGTGGTAGGTCATTAAGCTATACTCAATGATAGTTCTGGTGCTTGGCTTCGATGACTTGACCTACGCTACAGTACTACCTACACGCCTGGTATGAAATTAAAAGTTATAGAGGTAAATGTTTTTCAAAAAAAAAGCTGCTGGATCATCATAGTACAGCATATTTCTTAAGTTATGCTTTATATTCACAGAGTATTGTATGCATGCTCCTAGAATATAAAAAATAGAAGTCTAATTTAATCAGTTTTGGGCACTGTCTTTAGCTGACCCACCGTGGCCTTCTATAGTGTAAAGAGAATAGGCTTGTTTTTAAGGTTGCAGTTGAAATTATTCTTTCTTTATTATTTTAATTGTGATTTGGGAGATCTACTCTCGCGGGAACTTTCTTAACCCACGTAGAAATCGTATGTATAATATAATATATCTGTCGTATTTTATCTATATTTCTTATTTCTTTTTTTATTATTATTTTTATCTATGGAATTTCGCGGCTCACTTTTGGCCACAACAGAATATCAGTGTTTACTCTTTTTAGGGCGAAACAATAAGCTGAGTTGTGACCATTTTGTGTTACTGTGGCACACGCGTGAAGGGAAAAAAATTTTTACTTATTTTATGCATTATGTTTTTATTTTTTGTATATGTATTTTTTTTTATCTTTTTTCACTGTGCATTGTAGTTGTAATGCAAAGAAATGATTTATCTATCTATCTATCTAAATCGTTCATATGGCTTTAATCTATAAGATGTCATTCTACCAGACTAGCAGTCCACCTTATAGAGAGCTAGTCTATTATACTGAACAGCAAGTAAAGGTAAGGCGTTAATATTTACGAAGATGTTACAAAGCAAAAATACCTAAGACGTTGACACGAAAACGTTAATACGCCTACTCAGGAGTGCTAGAGTCAACAATTTCGTGACTGAAT